TTCAATCTTCTGAATCAATTAACTAAATTAAACCCCAATAAATCTGATGACTGATTTGATACATTTATTATTTAATCAAGATGTATTCCATGGGCCTCAGTGTTTATATATCAGTGACCAGTTACCTGAAGAAACTTCAAGTTATATCTAATGTCACTGATCTCACTGCAGTCCCTGAATCATACTTGACTGTAGTACTTGATCACATTCAGTCTTCTGGGTTAAATAATAAGTAATAAGGCTTGAATATTAGCCTTTCAAGAGTTGACAGGGAAATGAAATCGCATTAGACTTCTAACCCCTACAACTCTAGTACGGGACATCCGTCCTGTACGAACAGACACACAAATGTGTGATTACTAACTACTAACATCAAATTAATCAAATAATTCGAAGGAGGAGTATCGGTGTTCGTCTGTTCTAAAGAGGACTTCGACCCGTGAGCAGCCCCCTGGGGAATTATGTCGGAAAATCCGACACCATTTAATAATCATACAGATAATAACTGTATTACCAACAAGTTACCCATAGAAAACGTAACTTGTAGTGGAATTACCGTCTAAAGAAAACGGGATATCATCACCACACACTATTATAATTCACCACCTATTATGGTGGGAATTATTCTTAAATACATTAGTCTTTGGACTTTACCATCATAAAAACATCTTATATAAATTAACTTAATTATCAATATTAAAGTAGAGTAAATGTGACCCTTCTATCACGTTCTGAAATCTGGACAATGTAAGCCAGGCGTCAGAGTGGAGGAAGGAGGGCAGCCATTGTTGTTTATATTGAGACCAGAGGCTCACACGGGAGCAAATTCGGCTCCTGTTAAATTTACTTGGACGTAGTGTTATGGAAACCAAAGGTGTACCATTTTTCAACACGCTGTCTACATATCAAGTTAAGTGTCTATCCGAAACCCGTTTATCATTCATTTATGGCCATTAATGTCAGGATATAGGGTGACCCGGTTAGATCGCGAAATCGCCTCAAACTAAAGGTAATTAAGCCAGGTCTTCATGTTCCATGTACTGTATAGTGTTTTCTCTGATATAGCTTGTCATATATAGGATTCTGGCTTCACAGCTAGCGCACTTTTGACAGGTCAAGACGAGGATGCAAGATTATGTGCACCAGTTACTGGGTGATAGAAGCTACCTCAAAGAGGATAATTTGGTGTCTACACTCTAGTTATACCTGGTGGACTAACCTGCTGTACTATAAGAGAAGGAACCTCATCAATGTATGTAGCTATTACTGTAATTTGATTGGCTGCATATGTGTAATATAAACCCCCCCTAATGTGTAGAGGATCGATTTGTGAGATTAAGAGATTATTGCAGAAATACAGTCCACTTATCATTATACAAATTGCTATCGAAGTATATAAATTAACGTAAATATAAATTCATATAAATTAAATAAATATAAATCTCACAGGTCGGTTCCCACAGGTACTAAGTTTCCACCTGTGTCCCCTTGTTTGTGTCCCACCCGTGCTGAAGAGTTTGTCTTTGTCCACCCATGTCAATTCCCCTGAGAATTTTGTAGGTGGTTATCATGTCTCCCCTTACTCTTCTGTTTTCCAGGAACGTGACATTCAGCTCCTTCAGCCTTTCCTCGTAGCTCATACCTCTCAGTTCCGGGACGAGCCTGGTGGCATACCGCTGAATCTTTTCTAACTTTGTTTTGTGTTTAATTAGATATGGTATGTAGATATGATTGTGTGTATGAGAGTGTGTGTGTGTGTGTGTGTGTACCCTCACCCAGGTTAGTCAGTGCCTACAAGTCAATACATATGACTCATCACCTGACTCACTAATCCTTTGACCTACCTACCTCCTCCCCTCACACACACACACACACACACACACACACACACACACACAAGGGATCCAAGCGTCAATGCTCGATCCTGCAGACACAACTAGGTGAGTACACACACACACACCTTTTCTATTTTTCTATTATCTTGTTTCTGGTGTTCTAGCCGACAGACTTTTTTCTGTCTGCCTGACAGGACTTGTCTGACAGACTATTTTCTAACTGACAGACAGATGAGGGCGGTAATCAATGTATCTGACTGGAGGAGTGTTACTAGCGGAGTACCACAGGGTTCAGTTCTTGCACCAGTAATGTTCATAGTCTACATAAACCATCTATCAGAAGGAATACACAATTATATGAACATGTTTACGGATGATGCTAAGATACTGGGGAAGACAGGAGACGCAGACGATTGTAATGCCCTTCAAATTGATCTAAGATAATATTAAGTGCTTGGAGCGTACAGTGGCAGATGGAATTCAATGTGAATAAATGCCATGTTATGGAATGTGGAATCGGAGAAAATAGATCACACACACAATTTACAAATTATGTGGAAAGGTATTACAGAACTCTAATAAAGAAGGAGACCTAGGGAGGGGGGTGGTTTTGGGTAGTAAGTTGTCGCCAGAGGAACACATAGAGAACATTGTGAGAGGAGCGTGTGTCGCTTTCCAACTTCAGACTGTCTTTTAATTATATGGATGGTGAAATATTAAAGAAACTGTTCAAGACTTATGTGAGACCAAAATTGGAATATGCAGCAGTTGTATGGTGCCCAAGTCTCAAGAGGCACATGAAGAAACTGGAAAAGGTGCAGCGGCATGCTACAAAACGGCTTCCGGAACTGAAAAATAAGAGTTACGAGGAGAGACTAGAGGCATTAAAAATGTCAAAACCAGAAAATAGAAGAAAGAGAGGTGATATGATCACCACTTACAAAATACTAACAGGAATACATCAAACTGACAAAGAAAAATTCCTGAAACCTGCAACTTCCCGAACTTGAGAACACAGATTCAAGCAAAGGAAACAGAAGTGCCGAAAAATATTAGAAAATTTCCTTTTTTGCAACCAGAGCGGTTTCTTTCACTTGATACATCTCTTCACCTAGCAGTTAATAGATACCAGAACAGCACTTTGGAACCTTAATAACGAACCATTCGGATGACTGTACACCACCTACATGAGAACAGCCCTAGAATATGCAGCCTATATATTAGAGGCCCTTCACCTCAAATATGATACGGAGGGTAGGGAGTTATCAGGGGGAAAGCGCCAAGCCACTATGATACGGAGAAACTTTTAAAAAGCACAAAAGACTGCAAGTAGATTCATCCCAAAATTACGAGGGACGGAGTACGAAGAGAGACAAAGAACTTAATCTAACGACGCTAGGAGAGAGAGAGAGAGAGAGAGAGAGAGAGAGAGAGAGAGAGAGAGAGAGAGAGAGAGAGAGAGAGAGAGAGAGAGAGAGAGAGAGAGAGAGAGAGAGAGAGAGACAGACAGACACAAGAGTCATAAAACACCTACGGGACTGACACGGTGAAAAATAAGACCGTGTTGAGCCGCGGATCAGGTTATCAACATTCTGGAAACCGATGAATGGAGGAACGGGAGCCTCGGGGGAAGACTGATGACGACACACAAGACCACCACCACCAACTAGTCTCACCAGCCAAGTCTTAAGCTTCTACCTCCTGGTTGTACCTCTTAAGTCCCCCGTCCAGGCGGTCCTCTTCCGGTTAACCAACATCAGTATTCTCATTTAAGAAATGCATATTCTTTGCCTTCAATAACCTGTATTACGTTTGTCTTTAAGATGGATGGAAAGAGAGAGAAATAATAACACTAACCCCACCATTTCCGGCAAGTTCTACACGTTCTCCAAAGTTCTCCGAAGGTTTCCAGCAAGTTCTCGTCATCCCTTCCTATCCCGGCTCTCGAGAGCGTCTCCGCGCTCTTCAGGACGTACCCTGGCCGCCTCAATAGACGACCCACACAAAAACCCCTTCAACTGAACCCCCGAGCTTCATTGCAGCCAACTATATTACGGTTCATCAAAAGCAATTTCCAGGAGAAAATGATCAGTGTTGGCATACTCTGACGAACATCAATCACGCGCCACACAAACAGAAAAACCCACAGCGGCTCGTTGGTTAAAATGTGGCGGCAAAGGCTTCAAGCGTGGAGGAGGAGGAGGACGCAGACAAATACCACAATAACACGCCAGGTATCACCGGCTGTCACTCGGGTGACACGCCAGCTATCACTCGCTGTCACTCGGGTGACACGCCAGCTATCACTCGCTGTCACTCGGGTGACACGCCAGCTATCACTCGCTGTCACTCGGGTGACACGCCAGCTATCACTCGCTGTCACTCGGGTGACACGCCAGCTATCACTCGCTGTCACTCGGGTGACACGCCAGCTATCACTCGGGTGACACGCCAGCTATCACTCGCTGTCACTCGGGTGACACGCCAGCTATCACTCGCTGTCACTCGGGTGACACGCCAGCTATCACTCGCTGTCACTCGGGTGACACGCCAGCTATCACTCGCTGTCACTCGGGTGACACGCCAGCTATCACTCGCTGTCACTCGGGTGACACGCCAGCTATCACTCGCTGTCACTCGGGTGACCAGCTTAGCTCATTCCCATCGCTTTTCAATCTCTGTTTTGGAATTTGTTTTTGGGGAGAATTTTTACCTCTGAGATCTGTGAAGTTTGTTTACTAGCCGCAGCTCCGGGTCGGTTAGTTCATGATTTCCGAGCGACTGGTGTTTGGGTCGGTTATTACCCGGTTGTTATGGCTAAGCCCTTTCTCGCAAGCCTCGTCTCGGCAATTGAAGAGTGTTCTAAAGGCTGATACTCTAAGAACAAAGTTTTATCTATTACAAAAATATAAATAATGGTTTTACATAAAAAAAAATGTAGAATAAACAACATCAGACAACAGAGAGCAGGACAAGAACATGCTTTAATCTATTCCAAGAAGCTATTTCTGTAACATTGGGTTTCAGCAATTTTCGCGCAATGAAAACACATAAGAGAGCCTATCTTGGTGGCGTGTTACCAGAGCAAGTCACTCAATCTACACTCCCCGCAACACCACCACCACAGGCAGCCATATTGTGATTATCACTGCCCAGGTAAATAACATGGAAGCCAGATTCTTGCAGACCGGAGCCAGGTCTGTGCTGCGGTTCCTCCAGCAGGCAGTTTGGGCGCGCGCTCCGGCCCCTCCGGGACCAGGACGCTGCTGATTGGCTGTGCCAGAGCACTCGCCCCCCATCTCTTTTTCCCCCCTTCCTCCCGGCGGCCATTGTGATTGGGCGGCGCCTATTTGTTGACACAGACGGGCCGACATCCTCCTCCTCCTCCTGCACACATTTAGGTAATGGTGACAGTTGTAGCTACCATAACAGACGCGGTCCCTGCTTACTGACAGCGTCACCCAGGACCGTGAACACGGGGGCCCCCGAACAGCCAAGAGGGACCAGCGTGGCCCATAACCCAACAGCCTACAATGTTTCTCTGACATATAGTGATACATTAAATACATTAACTATTAATATACATTAAATCTTACACAAAAAAACACGAATCAAACAGAAATGTGCACAAATACTTTCGAAGGAATTCATCTTTGGAATAATAAAAATCACTCTTTGATGTTTGCACACACTGTCGTTATTATGTAATAAAAATACAGACCTTTTGTAAATTATTTAGTCACAGCTGTGACCAGTACCGGGAGCCACACAGCTGTGACCAGTACCGGGAGCCACACATCTGTGACCAGTACCGGGAGCCACACATCTGTGACCAGTACCGGGAGCCACACAGCTGTGACCAGTACCGGGAGCCACACAGCTGTGACCAGTACCGGGAGCCACACATCTGTGACCAGTACCGGGAGCCACACATCTGTGACCAGTACCGGGAGCCACACATCTGTGACCAGTACCGGGAGCCACACATCTGTGACCAGTACCGGGAGCCACACATCTGTGACCAGTACCGGGAGCCACACAGCTGTGACCAGTACTGGGAGCCACACATCTGTGACCAGTACCGGGAGCCACACAGCTGTGACCAGTACCGGGAGCCACACATCTGTGACCAGTACCGGGAGCCACACAGCTGTGACCAGTACCGGGAGCCACACAGCTGTGACCAGTACCGGGAGCCACACAGCTGTGACCAGTACCGGGAGCCACACATCTGTGACCAGTACCGGGAGCCACACAGCTGTGACCAGTACCGGGAGCCACACAGCTGTGACCAGTACCGGGAGCCACACAGCTGTGACCAGTACCGGGAGCCACACATCTGTGACCAGTACCGGGAGCCACACAGCTGTGACCAGTGCCGGGAGCCACACATCTGTGACCAGTACCGGGAGCCACACAGCTGTGACCAGTGCCGGGAGCCACACATCTGTGACCAGTACCGGGAGCCACACAGCTGTGACCAGTACCGGGAGCCACACAGCTGTGACCAGTACCGGAAGTCACACAGCTGTGACCAGTACCGGAAGTCACACTGCTCCGAGTAAACTTGAGAGTGACTCGGTGCTCCCAATATTTTGATGACGTTTTAAAGTGTTTTAAAGTATGAATGTAGTCTGCCCCAATGACCTCTTCATTAGACTCGTCCAACTACCAGTTCTGCCGCACCCTAAACTCCCCTCCATACGTGCTAGTGCGGCTCTCTTACATACTCATACACTGGTGTGTGTGTCTGTGTGTGTGTGTGTGTGTGTGTGTTTTGCGTGTCTGTGCGCGCGCGCGTCTCGGTATGCTTGACTAGTGGACTTGGCTAAAGATCGATAGCCCACCATGATGTCGGTCACACACACACACACACACACACACACACACACACACACACACACACAGTGTGTGTGTGTGTATATATTACCTACGTGAAACCAAGATTAAAGTATGCATCCCCAGTATGTGCATCTCCTCACCTGGAGAAGGTACAGAAGTTAATTCCTGGGGACTGGCTTTGAAGCTAACTGAAAAAACGTGCATGGAAAGCCTAAAGGAACTGAAACTTTCAGCAATTAGCTGAAAAAAAAGATAAGGAGATGACATGATTGAGTCAAATCCACAGGGATATAACAGTAGAAAAAGATGAAAGTCAAAATTGGAACATTAAACAAGAATCCATAGGTAGAAACTGGAACACACACGAACCATAAGGCTACAAGAAAATGTTTCGTCGAATTGGGCGTGTAGTCAAGTGTAGAATTGGAGGTAGTAAAGGCTGGAGTTACACAATGTTTCAACAGCAACTATGATAGGAGCTGAAAGTGTTCAGTCACTACGGCTCACAACCGACAGCTGAAAAAGACTAGTTTCCAGGAGCCAGATTCACGAAAACACTTAGGCAAGCACTTACGAACCTGTACATCTTTTCTCAATCTTTGACGGCTTTGTTTCCAATTATTAAACAGTTAATGAGCTCCGAAGCACCAGGAGGCTGTTTATAACAATAACAACAGTTGAATGGGAAGTTTTCATGCTTGTAAACTGTTTAATAAATGTAACCAAAGCCGTCAAATATTGAGGAAAGATGTACACGTTCGTAAGTGCTTTCGTGAATCTGGCCCCAGGAGCCGAAGCTCGACCCTGTAAACTCAAAACAAACAAGAGCAGTAGTATACAGGAAAATTACCAGCGACTAAATCCCTTTACGTATAATACTCTTCGAGAACTGAATCCACTATTACTATAAGCGACGCGTTTACTCACCTGGGGGAAAAATGTGACTAGTTTGTTTATTCATTTATTTACTCATTCAAGCGTTCGTCCTTCTCCCTCCCAACCCACCAGCAGCCACCCCCCCCCCCCCCCCACCCCCACGCCCTCACCCGGGCACGCCCACCGACTCGTGGGATGCGATTTACTCAGCCCCTCGCCTTCCTCTTTGTTGACAAGCGGGAATATAAACAACGAATGAAGGGGAGTTCTGCCAATGAATCCGGATTATCTGCCACCTGTTTTTTTACCGCCACCCTTCCCCTCTCCAGAGACTCTCTGGGAGGTGTAAAAACACCTTTCTAATCTATTCTTTTATGCAAATTGTATTATTAGTATTATTATCATTATTGAGTAAATATCGTATATAATATTATTTGTGTTACTATTCTGATATCAGTTTATAAAGTTACTATAGAGTGTTTGATGCACCAGTCATGACAAGACGTCGAATCTATTAATTGATCGTGTCGACGTTGAATGTGACTATCATGTGTCGATGATGAATATGCATGTGCGGGGTCTCCCCTTCAAAATGAATGTTGACAAATAATAATGTATCCTATTCTTGTGTTGACAGAGAAGCCGGAGAGGCGGAGAGGGAAGCAGCCCGGAATGACACTTGATTGAGATCGTGGCCGGATGCCCCGATGAGACGCAGCAGGACCACAAGAGACAAAACATTACAGAATCAACAGCAGAGTTGGGACGGAAGGTGGAGAAAAACTCCCAGGAGAACCCCCCCAATGAAGAGAACTTCCCAAGAGGAAAAAAAAACTCCCAGAAGAACCACCAGGATGTTATGAGAAGAACCGAAGAATCTGCTTCGCGGATAATAGACTCAGCAACAGGTTTCGTGAAGATGCTGATGTTTAAGGAAATTTAGCGATTTAAGGAAATAGTGGGAGAGTGAGCCCGCCAGACGGCGACAAGAAACCGCTCCTCAGCTCAGGGAGTAAAAGGTGGGTCCACGACGGCATTTAGAGTTGGTGATTGAATTCTGGGTCCACTAGAAGAGTCTGTCATGCAAATTCTACCGATGGATTTTGGAAGACGACGAGAAAGAGCATAAATTACTGTTGATGTGAACTGAGGGAAGTGTGGAAGATCGGTTCGTCATGTGCATTCGTCCAGTCTACGCTGATCACGATTTATCAGCAGAGTGGTGTCAGCTCTTGAAGCCCTGAAGCAGTGGAAAACGTCAGTATATATGTAATATGAAGGAGAGGTAATAAAGGAAGTGTGACTGTCTTTAAGACTTCGATACACCCGCCACCTACTGGTCGACACACCCGCCACCTACTGGTCGACACACCCGCCACCAACTGGTCGACAAACCCGCCACCTACTGGTCGACACACCCGCCACCAACTGGTCGACACACCCACCACCAACTGGTCGACAAACCCGCCACTTACTGGTCGACAAACCCGACACCTACTGATCGACACACCCGCCACCTACTGGTCGACAAACCCGCCACCTACTGATCGACACACCCGCCACCAATTGGAAAACAACAGACATTCACCGAAAGTGCAACCGAGACAATAACATTGGTTAGATTGTCTTCGATCAAGAAGTGTATCTCGAGTCGTCGTAACGACTCCACGACATATGCTTGTCCACCGTCGCCATATCCTCGCTGTTGCTCGGTCATATATGTTGGACTTGCTGGAGACGTTCTCCCTCGGGTGCCTGGAGACCGGGTGAAGCATAGAGCGACCCCAAGTCTCCGATGTCTCGTTGCCACAACCTCGGAGGAAAGTAAAGGCGCGTGGACTTTATGTCGGAGACCGGAGGGCGGGAGAGCTTGCAGGTGGTGTTGCGAGGGCGGGAGTCCGCCGCCAGGATGCAGGGGCCACCACTCTACCCTCATCAGTACGCCACCAAAGTCAGCTCCAACGCTCTCCACCACAAGCCCTTCACCTCAGGCGGCAGCAACGCCCCTACCTGTATGGTGGGAATGAACAAGCCCGCCCACTATCACACTCAATACACCAACACAACGCGCCACCCATGCTACCCCATGCCCACGAGCGGCGGCGACGTCCACCAGTCTGACGGTGCAGGACACGACAACAGCGGCAGTGTGATGGGTTTCAGTGGCTATAGCGCCTTCAGTAGCGACACCAGCATGGGCGGCGGTGACGACTTGACCTCACTCACCTGGCTACATTCTCTAGACATGGGCGGCATGGTGCCCCACCTGGCCACGCCGCCCACGCCCCCGGCCTCCCCACAGCCCCACAACCCTCTGCCGCCCACGCAAACCTCACACACGCCCCCAACAGACAGGAAAAGGAAGGCGGAGGTGCAGGAGAAGTTAGACAGAATAGACTACTCTCAGGACGGTAGCGTGAAGCCGCCCTACAGCTACGCGGCGCTCATCGGTATGGCCATGAAGGAGAACCAGAACAAGATGACCCTCTCGGCCATTTACAAGTGGATTAAGGAGAACTTTGCTTATTACAAGACGGCCGACCCCTCTTGGCAGGTAAGGTTGCTACGCCAACACCTTGTTCTAGTTATACCACCTGCCTGCACTCGCCTATTTTAAGTCACCCACCGTTCAGTTTTAAGTTCTTGATCAGGGTACTCGCCTCCTTTGGCAGCTCACCTGTTCAACGATTCTTGAACAGCTGGGCCGTCCTCAGGCTCGGCTCACTCACGCTGCGACCCTCCCAGACAGGACACAAATGAAGACGAGTTACATTAACGAGGCTGAAGATATGATGGCTAAAATCCCGCATCAGAAAATAAAGAAAAGACGACGTTTCGGTCCGTCGTGGACCATTATCACACAACCTGACAATTGTCCAGGACGGACCGAAACGTTGTCTTCATTTCCTGGTGTGTAGTTTGTTCATCACTCAAGTGAACGTTTTCCATTGTTAACCTTAAACTAATTTATCAATATATATATTTTATTGCTTTGTGTGTAGTTAAAACTAAAGTAGGTTTAGTTAGTCGTTTTGTGTCTGTTGGCGAATACTTGTATTTTCAAACCTGACCTCTGGCAAGACTCGTCCAATGGACAGTCGACTTCCAGGACGAGTTCGTCAACTTACCAAGAGGTGCCGCCGCCCCCCGTGGTCTTACCAAGAGGTGCCGCCGCCCCCCGTGGCCTTACCAAGAGGTGCCGCCGCCCCCGTGGCCTTACCAAGAGGTGCCGCCGCCCCCCGTGGCCTTACCAAGAGGTGCCGCCGCCCCCCGTGGCCTTACCAAGAGGTGCCGCCACCCCCCGTGGCCTTACCAAGAGGTGCCGCCGCCCCCCGTGGCCTTACCAAGAGGTGCCGCCGCCCCACGTGGCCTTACCAAGAGGTGCCGCCGCCCCCCGTGGCCTTACCAAGAGGTGCCGCCGTCCCCCGTGGCCTTACCAAGAGGTGCCGCCGCCCCCCGTGGCCTTACCAAGAGGGGCCGCCGCCCCCCGTGGCCTTACCAATGCGAGAAGCCACAACCCACAGCAGTAGTACCAAAAGGGGGGTGTCATTACCCTCCCCAGTGTTGCCAATATGCCAGGTCGGAGCTTCAAAGGAATGCTCATATTGAAACATTTTTACGGGATAGGAATGAGCGTCACGTCGGTGGGGAGGACTTTTCTGCTGGTAATTGTGGTACGTTTGCTCTTGTGTGCGTGTATGACTATGTATGTGTGCGTGTATGACTATGTATGTGTGCGTGTATGACTATGTGTGCGTAGTCATGTAGCATATTTATACACGTACAATGATTAAACGACGATGAAGGGGGGAGGGGGTGTTGTGAGCGTGGCAATCATGCACTTAAGTTGCACCAAGTTACTGCCATCGACTGCCAGGATCCCAGAGTTCCAATTCGTCAAGATCAGCAGCACCTTGCTCTGGCGGCTGTAGACTCGCTTTATTAGATTCCAATAATGTCAGCAAGAAAAGCAAGTTCTAGACAGTGTGAGGACGTCACACTCCTCCCTAAAGGAGGAGGACAACCTCGCCACACAGCTCTTCAACACCAACTCATCAAAGTTCGAATCCTTGAACAAATCCACAAGGGCCGTGACGAGGATTCGAACCTACGTCCGAGAGAATCCCAGACGCTGCCTTAATCCGACGGATTTGTTCATTCGATTCATCACGCTATTGTGATTTCTTTGTGTATTGAACACGCCATGTTTATTGTGCTAAAGCTTGTGTTTCGTCAGAGCTGGGTAGCTAGATGGTGGGCCAGCACGAGCTGCTGACACCCTCAAGACTTACCCAAGTATATAAATGGATAAAAAGTATAACTAAAGGGATATAAATAATGTTTTAAATTTATCAACACAAAATAGAAAACGGAACAATAGATATGAATTCGATACGTCTAGATTTAGGACAGACTTCTGTAAATACTGGGTTTGGTAATAGTCTTGTAGATTTATGGAACAGATTACCAGGTATCGGTAGTCGTGGGCTCGCTGGATTGTTTCAAGCGCAGGCTAGGCATGTATATGAATCAGTTTGGGTGGGTGTTAATAGGAGCTGCCTGGTATGAGCTAAACAGACCTTCTGCAGTTTGGTTTGTCTTATGTTCATAACTGATAAGTGCCACGTCGCCTCTTACAGTTTCCTCATTTGATGCTATAAACTACCTTTGTTGTCACTACCAGACAGTTTTGTTTCTGTGAGCGTAATTACACTTGGATTCCCCCTCGTGTGTCCATTCTCCAAGTTCATATACTTGTGGCTGCAGGTAGGTTTTATTGGCTTAAACACAACGTAAACTCTTTTTCCCAGTTTACCACATGAAATGCTCTATAAACTTGAGAGTTGAGAGCAGGGTAAACACTGAACAAAACTCCCCGAGGAATGAACACGGGCCGAGAGAGGGGACCTGACTGCAGAGTCACAACAACGGGGCTGAACATTACACAACCAACCCCACACGTCTGAAAATAAAGGAAGAGTCGACGTATCGGGCCGCCCTGGACCATTGTCACGTCGTGTAGAGATGTTGTTGTTTAAGATTCGCTACTTGGAATAAAAAGTTCCAAGTAGCACGGGCTATGGTGAGCCCGTAGTGGACTTACCTGGCACAGGAGCGGCGTGTGATTAAAACTTACTTAGAGCGCTGAAGGTCAATATATAAGGTAAGGATGCGAGATGAAAGGTTAGAAGTATACCATGGGAGCTAATAAGCCAAAACGAAAACTGCCAACGGTTTAATGGCAAAATCAAATAGGCGAAATAGAAACAAAACAAAAACAGAACACCAGAATAGAAAGAAAAGAGCGGAGAGAGGCTAAAGTTACGTCAGATCACGTGTGACATTTAACTATGTGGCGGGAAAGGTAAGATCCAAGAGCAACAAAGCCTGTACTGGGGGGGCTCCTGTTGAGAATGAGAGCAGATTCGACAAGACGGCGTCTATGGACGGTAGAGGCGGAAAAGATTATTTTAGAAGACCAATTACAGGACGCTTGGCCCCCCTAAGATGACAAGAGAGAGAGAACATTGTTTGTGCTTGTCCATAACACTTCTTTTGTGTTCTTTTAGTCAGTCATTAAGAGTACGGCCAGTTCCCTAAAGTCTTGGCGAGGATAAGAGCATAAAACAGAATCAACACGAGCAGCGTTGGACGCAGGGTGAGCAGCGTTGGACCAGAGTGCTACGAAGTGTGTTGGTTTGTCGAAAGTCTAATATTATATCAAGAGAACGAAGTGTATTAAGTGAGATTTATTAGTTCAGTTGTGAAGGGAAGGCACAACGCAGTGTTGTAGTGTTGGAAGCGCAAGTTGGGTAATGGACGGACCCAAACATCGCCACTTTCTTTATTTTCAGATATGTGGGTTGAAAGATATGATTAAGATACTTGAAGATACTTGCGGCAAGTGACGAGGCCAGCTGAAGATGTGCCTGGACAAGCTCCTTCAGTCTACAGTAACAAGGGCACTGCACTAAACAATCGAGACATTTACGCATCTTCTCAGTCAGTTAATCGCCAAGAGGCGGAGCCCAAACGCTGCAAATCATTCCCCTGTCAACACAAATAGGCAAGTACCTACATACTCATCCCTCCTCCTCCTCCTCACTTGATCTCTCCCAAGCGCTACCACACAAAACGCTTCAATTGGAAATCCAGTTCTAAACTCGGCAAGATGTATATGTATGTATACGTTCATAAACAAGATGAAAGCGTACCTCTCCTCCAGTAATAAGAGGTCGGCAAAAAAGGATTACGTTTCCCAAGAAGGGAGCTGTTGTATGTGGACGCGCACAAAATGGATTATTTTTTTTTTTTTTAGGATTAGACGAAATGAAGCGCTGGATGAGAGAGGATTGAATTTTGTTCAATTTTTTGTCCGTATTTTATAAAGTGGATCTACAGACTTGGAGCACAGGAAGAGTTGGATCTCACAGTGCGTGGATTCCGGCCTTTAGTCTGAGCTATGCTTGCGATGCTGTTGTCTTAGTGAATAGGATTTTATGTGGCGGTTTGTATATCCTCCTCCCCCTCCCCCTCCCCCTCCCTCCCCCCCTCTCTCTCTCTCATCTCTCTCTATCTCGCCCGTGCAGACTCTAATCTCAATGTTGAATGGTAGACGCTGTGCTAACAATTTGCAATGGTCGAACAATTAGCTCCCTCGACAGAACGAACATATATCTATCGAAAGACCACTTGAATATAACAAGCTCTACTTAGGCTGTTTGGATTAAACAGAACTCATCAATAACACAACTTCCCACTGAGAAGTTAAAGCGACTGTCTTGGTAGAAAGACCACCTGGCTAATAGCAAACCTCCAAGTAAAATGACCACCTAGATAAAATGAAGGGAAGGGAAGGGAAAGGGGAGGGCCTGGGCCCGGTCAGAAGCCGTCTGCTCCTCTACCCACCTGTGTGTAAAACATTCATTAACAAGAAACACTTGAAAAGGGATTCAGATCAGACGACAAACAGAGATAAAGGGTTGAGACTAGATTAGATGCACCAGTCAAAATAATGGGTGTCTATAGGGCCTCGTGTGACCCAAAACATCCTATTGCAACGAGTTTTTTTTTTTTTTTGGGTGGAGGGGGAGGAGTTCCTGCATAAAGTAGTTTAGTTTCTGATAAAATAATAATGACTGACAAACCACAGTAGTTTGTAGTAATTGCCGCCATATAGTTCATTGGCATCAGATTATAATGGTGTCACGGTAGCCAGTACGGTGACACACAGTCGACGCTCATCAGCTTGGTGCACAGTTGAAAATAAAAATCAACTTGAGAAAACGAAGAAAGGAGAGAGGGAGCCCCGCCCCCCCCCCCCCTTCACCTCGTCCACGTATCCCAAGAAATGAGTAGTGTGGCACTGCCTGGCAACCCCCCCAAATGGCCCACCTACTCCCACAGCCAATCAATACCAAGGAACTGCTTGTTTGGTGCACCTGGATGGTTACAGCGGTGAATAATTAGGTGTGCATGGCGAGGGAGGTGTGGGGGGGGGGAGAGGAGGCCAGGCGATGCGTGGGAGAGTACAGGACCCCGAGTTTGTTTGTT